TACTCATTGAGCCATTTTCGGATTTTCCTGTCTTAGGGTACTTTTAATGCATGCTGTTCGTTCTAAAGGAAGAAAATTTGAGAAGGCTAGGGGTAGGAGAAATAGCAGGGGTTTTAGGGATTGAGCCTAGCTTTCTAGTAGTGATGAAAATAAGCTCAATGCATGAATTTTGTCATTAAAGTTGGTGCAAATCGAGCCAAAGTATCTTGTATTCAGATTGAACTCATAATCTATGTCATTGCTGAAGAATCTACAATTTTTTATATTAAAAACCTTTTTCATTAAATATTCTTGTAATATTTGCCATCAAGGACTTATCAGACATGTCTAATTGTGCTTTTACATGACAATTGTGATCAGCTCATACAAAATTTTAATTTTTTTAATAATATTGTTATTTATTACGTCATCCGGTTCGACCCCGGTTCGACCGGTCGAACCGTGAACCTCTCCTTCCTTCGGTTCGTTGTTCGGTTCGGTTCTGAAAACCTTGATATTAAGAACAAACCTGATTAGACATAATTTGAATGTTATGCATATAGAGAAAAATGTTTTTGATAACATTTTCAATACAGTTATGAACATCAAAGATAAATCGAAAGATAATATAAAAGCAATGATAGACTTAAAAGTGATTTGTAGGAGGAAAGCTTTGGAATTGAAGGATGGTGGAGGTGAAAAATTTCTCAAACAAAAAGCTCCATTCACATTAACTTTAGAGCAAAAACGAGCAATTTGTGAATGGGTGAAGATCCTACGAATACCTGATGGATATTCTTCCAATCTAAGCAGGCGTGTTGACATAAGATCAGGGAGATTATTCGGATTGAAAAATCATGATTGTCACATCTTCATGCAATGTCTACTATCAACTGCTTTTAGTTATCTGCAAGATTAAATTTTAAAGCCCTTAATCGAACTAAGTGTATTCTTCAAAGATTTATGCTCTTCTAAAATAAATGTAGAGAACTTGATTCTTATGGAGCAGCAAATTCCTTTCATTCTGTGTCAACTTGAAAAAATATTTCATCTAGGATTTTTTAATTCTATGGAGCATCTACCAGTTCATTTACCATATGAGGCTATGATTGGTAGACTTGTTCAGTATAGGTGGATGTATCCTTTCGAGAGATATTTAACTAAACTTAAGAAGACTGCTAAGAATAAAGCACGACCCGAAGGCTCTATCTGTGAAGCATATTTAACATACAAGACAATTCAGTTTTGCTCGTATTATTTTGAAACAATGTCTCAATCAGGTGAAAGTTCAGCACCACAAAATGTTGGTAAATCCTATAATATATCTGTATTCGGTGGAAGTGGTGAACCTGTAGGCGCTAGCACCATGCGCTACTTGACCGATAAGGAGATGACAGTTATTACATTGTATATCTTGCTTAACTATGATGAAGTTGAGGGCTTGGGTAGTTCCCTTCATATTGGCGGCTCCGTTCCCATACTGAGCACAGACGACGTTTGTAATGAATTTTAAATATTTTTTTTAAATTTTTCTTTAATACAAATATTAATAGAATTATCTTAATTCTAACAGAAAGAGATGCTGGGTAGAGAACCTACTCCTGTAGAATTGCATAGTCACACTCATAAGCGACAGCATGATCAACAATGGATTGATTAGAGAGCAAGAAAAGCCCATGTAAATATATGTGTTTAATAATTTCTATTTTTAATTTAATTATATATATTTATATTCTACTTTCACAAGAGGAATATATACAGCTTCGAGAGAGTCATGCCGCATCAGGTGAGGGCTCTTCTGGCGTCCCTGTTGAGTATTCTGAGTACCGCATCTGGTCGCAAGCCGTTAGAGGAATGCAACTTGACAGAGTTTATGGTTGAGGTTCGCAAGCTCTGGTATACGATGGGATGACCTCCTCTACTGCATCCAGCTTCGCATCTAGTTCACATGAGTCCTTATATACTCAACAAATAACTGCCCTTCAAGCAGAGTTAGAACAAGTAAGGAAATCACAAGCTGATTGGCAAGTTCAATTGCAAGCACAGGTTCAAATGCAGATTCAGGAGCAACACAATCAGTTGTTGGATGAAATGCGCAAAATGAGGGAGCAGTTGAGTGGAAAAGAGGTAGCTCCAGCTAAGGAGGAGTCCACGGATTCAGAGTAGTTTAGTTTAGTTATATGAGCTTGTTTATTTCTTTGAATCTGTTTTATTGAACAATCTGTGATGTTTTTAGTTGGTTGATGCTATTGAACATTTTGTTTTAATGAATATTTATGTTTTTGAGTATATGTTGAAGTTCTTGACATATGTGATGTATATATCTGTGTTGTGGAACTGTTATTGTATTTATTTTTATATATTTGCAGGTGTGGAAATTCGATTGTTGGCTAGGAAGGCTATTTTTTTGTTATTGCTATAAGTTTGCGTCGGAAATTCGACGGAAACGACGATACAACGAATCGGTGCAATCATGCCGGCGTTTTTTTTTTTCCGCCGGAAAAGGGTGGCGGCAAATGCACAGGAAGCTAGCTAGTCGTAGCTTTAGTTACGACACACCTTACGGCGTCTTCTCCGTCGGCGTTTTTCGACGCAACAATGGCGCCAGAAACAAATCGTAGCTTTAGTTACGGCGAACCTACGACGTTTTATCCACTGGTATTTTCCGTCGGATATGTACGTCGTAAAATTCCGGCGTATATATCGCCAGAATAATCGGTTAGAAAACGACGTTTTGGCTAACATATTTTGCGTCGGTAATGCGTCGGAGAGTGCGTCGGAAAGGTTTCCGGTGTCTTATAAACGTCGGAAGACATTTTCCGACGCGCACCAAACCGGCGTACCGAAATCCGACGGAAATGCGCCGGAAACCAAGGCCTTCCGTCTTTTACGTGTTACCGGCGAATATGGTCCGCCGGTAATACCTTGTTTTCCTGTAGTGGGCATCCAAGGAGCTAACATCGGGTATTCTTAGGGAGACTTCGAAGGAGAAGATGTAGGAGGAAGGCTTGGGGAAAACTTCAAGAAATTCACTGAAACGATGCTACAAGAGAAGAGGGCAAATGGGCTATGTTTCAAACGTGATGAGAGGTATACACCAGGGCAAAGGTATAAGGACCAAACTCTTCAGGTTCTCACTTGCGGACAAGGTGGGTCTTTGGGAGGGGGGTATTATTAGATCAGGTCCCTCCAGGATTGGTCCTGCATGTCCTTTCCTTGGCTGGCTCTTGGGGGCTAATTTGGAGGGGATTAATTAAGAAATATTTCCTCATTGAAGAAGGCAGATTTTGGGGTTGATTTAAGGATTGCTTTGCCGAGGATTAATTAGGAAAATTTTCCTAGTTGAATAGGGCAGATTTTGGGGCTGATTTAGAGGGGATTAATTATGATATATTTTCTAATTAAGATGACAGATTTGGGGGCTGATTTGGAGGGGATTAGTTAGGAAATATTTCCTAATTGAAGAGGGAAGATTTGAGAGCTGAGTTGGGAGGGAAATAATTAAGTAAATATGGCAGATTTGGGAGGGAATTGGGGGATGGATGTTTGAGTATTTGTCGTTTATTGTATGTTTTGAGTAGGGGCTTTTTCTAGGGTTAGAGTTTTATGTTGTTTACTGAAATTAGATTGTTCTTAGGGTGTTTGAGCTCTAGCTGATGGCTTGAGATTTAGGAGAGCCGGATCTTCCCATCCAATTGAGGATACACTTATATCTTGTCTTTTCTTTCATTAAACTTTCAATAAAAAAAATGTTGTGTTATATATCTGATTTTCTTGTCATTGGTTTTCTTTGAAATTGCTGAAATCAAATTTCAGTTAAGGCTTTTTCTAAATTTCTGCAAGCACTTCCTATCAGGGACTTTTCTATCACACAATAAGCTCGATGCATTTTTCCACTTCAACTATCCAACTTAAATTCTACTAATAATATTTCCATATAGTTCATCATCACTCCAAACAATAGATCCAATATATATGAAACGTGTACTCTTATTAATGACTTGATCACCCAAAGTCGCAATCCCCCCACTAGATCAATTACTACTAAAAACACACTGCATATCTTCGGTTTTAGATCTACTGAAACGAAAACCTTTGAACTCTAAGGTTGACCTTCATAATTCAAGTTTACCTTCAACTCCCTCTCTAGTCTTATCAACAAGAAAAATATCATTAGTAAAAAGCATACACCATGGTATAAACTCTTGCAAATTTCTAGTGAGGACATCCATGACTAAAGCAAAAATATATGGGCTTAAGGCTGATCCTTGAAATAATCCAACTGAATAGGAAAATACTAGGCTGATCCTTGAGGAGAATTAAAGGGAGTGGATCACTTATTAAAGGAGGTGGGGTAAAACATGGAGCAGTAAATTCATGTTTTGGGGGAAAAATAGGAGAGTTATATTAGGCCTTTTGGTGGTATTATTTTTCTTCTTCATGCAGATTTTACGAGTGTTCTTGCTGTCCACTGTTTTTTGTGAGGGATTCTAGCGGCGTCTAGAGATTGGGAGAGAGAAGGTCCTCCTCTCGAAAGAGGACTTTTTTATCTTGCTAGTTTGTATTTGCTTTCTTATCCAGTTTTATTTTCTGAAATTTACTGTTTGTTCATTGATTTTTGTTGTTCATGTTTAGACAATGTTTCAGAGTGCATAATCCGACAGGATTTTTCTCTAGGAGTATTTACGCTCCTGTAATACCAAAGAAGTCATATCTACGTGAAAAACAGATCACTTGAAATACTGTCTTTTCTAATAATGGGTTCAAATGACTAGTAACTTGAAATACGGTCTTTTCTAATAATGGGTCTTTCTATACAGTAAAATTTCAAATGACTAATAACGTGTAATTTCACATTTTTCTCTAGTACATTATTTCAGATTATGCAGTATGATCTTTCCTTAATAGTGGAAGACGTTTTGTTAGGCATGCATTTTTTTATATCGTTCTTCAGTCAATTATTTGTAGTATTTTCCCTTTAACTTTTTTTTTTTTTCTTGATGATCATTTACCATCACTAGGAAAGGCTCACTATCAAGGAGCAACAGATTAGTGAAAATTTTTATGTCAGGGGTGACGGCACTGTAAGTAACTTCAACCTATTTTTAATCTAAATTAAGTTTCTGAATATATATTTTTCATCTGTTTTTTTATCCTCCTTTACAGAGGGCATATTATTTTTCAGAAGATTTTTTGACAAATTTGTTCAAAGAAAGTGGATTTCATGTCAAAGAAGTTAGCATTTGCAACAAGGAAGTTGAGAATCGATCGAAGGATTTAGTGATGAAGAGGTGTTATCGCATTTAGGATAAGAGTGTATTCTTTTATTATCTTTTTACAACAAGGAAGCACCACTCCATTAAAAGTCCAATTCTTTAATCCTATTTGTTCGTATAGTAGTAGAAGCGCCTTCTGCTAGTTATATGTAGCCACACTACTAGTAAGTAGCTCTATATTAAAGAATTTTGGCACACATTGCTTTGATTAAATTTGTGTACAATAATTTCTCTGCTGGTTGACATTGTTGTGTTACTCTTTTAACATCAATGTATCACATTCATGAATCATAACTTTTTTTGGCCTGTTAAAAAAATTGATAGGAAAAGGTTGCAACACTAGTTGTACAACTTGACATAAAACCTTTTTTGCAAGCATCAAAGCAAATATATAGTCTCACAAATCTTTTTCTACCACACAAATTCTGGGCTTGGGTTGTAAGAACAGAAATAGTTGATTCTGGATTACTGCGTGCAATTTCATGGAAGTAGTCCCAAATTTTATTAAATTGCTCTTCCTCTTTCATATGGACAATTTGACAAGCTTTCTTCAAAGTCTTCTTTGCTTGACTTTTGAAACATGTAGTTTCAAGTCATCAATGAATTCTTTTTTGAAGACATTATACTTCATTTAGGGACTGATTTTGATTTTATCAACATATGTTTCTGCAATGATTGTGGAGTTCAAAGTCTTATTGTGATAATCTCATGTACATGTGTGCTCTTGTAAAGATTGAATATGTGAATTGCTCCCTTGATGTTTTTAAATATATATAACAACCTCCTACAAATGGAGAGATTATTCTGTGCGGACACCGAACGGGAGAACCGTCCGGCACCTCTTGGTACCGAGCGCGGTACACTTTTGGGTTGACGTGACATATTTTTATTGGCCTCTGGACGACGTCTGGACTGAGCACAAAAAAATTGTCCCTACAAATGACTCGACATCTTTTGTCATTCTTGACAAATTTAATCTTTTTTATTGTCATAATTGACCAATTCTGAACATCTTTGAACTTCTCCTTGCTACTGAAAAGCATGGCAACTTCAAAATTTTTAAATGATGAATCTGTTCTAGGATTGAAGTATGACCATATTACAGTTTCATCTTCATCACCATCATGAATATTTGCATCATCAGCCGAGTTCATACAATTAGTGTCGCAATCTTTTCCCTTTAAAATTTTAGTAGAATGCTCATCAGAAGATTCATTGTTTTCAAATAAATTGACATCATCTTGCATCTCATAATCACTAGGCAGGGGGGCGCCAAAAATTTTCTTTGGTCTTTGGGCTGCTGGTTGCTCTCGGGTTGGACTTGGTTGCTTGGTTTTGAGCTGTGTTTTTGGGTTGCTTTGTCCTAGCTCATTAATGTTTGAGCTGCTGTTTGAGCTCATTAAGTGGAGTAGAGTTTGGTCCTTTCCCCTTCCCTTGGTCTCTTCGGTATCCCCTCATGGTTTGGCTCCCCTGGCTGCTGGTTCCGGTCCCTTTGCTGCCCTTTCGGTTCTCCCCTGGTGTTGTTTCCCGTGAGCTGTTCCTTTTCCCTTTGCTGGTGCTGGTTCCGGTTCCTGTGCTGCCTTTTTGGCTGCTTTCCCGTGGCTGCTTTACCAGGTTCCTGTGCTGCCTTTTGGGTGCTGTTATGGATTTAATTCTGGCCTTTCTGGACTGTTTCTGGACAGCAACTGGCCTTCCAAATTCCCTTATTTTAATTAGCTTAATTAATGGTTTTATGGTGGTTGTTTGGCTACCCCTTTTATCCTATATATATGTGATGTTTTTGTAATATTAGAAAGAGTTTATGAAAGGATGATATATGATGTTATTTTTGGAAGCCAAAACCTGCGGGTTTCTTTGTGGAAAAGCTTGAGAGCTTGTCCCACCTCTTTCTCTTCTTCTAGGAAAGCTTGCGTGCTTCTCCTCAATTTCATCTAGGCTTCTAATCTCTTTCTTCTCGCCGCAAGTGACCACCCCACCTGTATCTTTCTTTTCAACGATTGTCAAGCAGCTTTAGGAGTTTATAATTAGATTTTTGGAGATGAAAACTTGAGGTTTTCTTGGATAGCTTGCGAGCTATGCCTCGTCTCTTCGTCTTCCTCTAGTAAAGCTTACGAGCTTGTCATCTCCTTCGTCTCGGCTTCTTACCTCTTTCTTCTCTCCGCAAGTTCGACGCCACTTGTATCATTCTTCTCAAGGAAATGCAGTTTTAGGTGTTTATTTTTGTACAAGTTTTTAAGTCATTTTATTTTATAAAAGTGAAGTTGTTTTTGGTTTAAGTGTCATTTTATGTTATAAATGTGGTAGTTTATGTGTTTTTTATATCCTAGGAAGCATTTCTTTTTGCTTGCAAAAATTTGTAGTTTTTCCAAATTTTTGCTTGCATCATTCGTTTTGGTTTAGGATAATTAAAAGTTTAGTTTTATTGAAATTACCTCTCTGTCATCCATAACCCGACCATTTATCCAAATTTTTTTGTTAAAATCTTATCTTTTTTTCTTAGTTGTTAATGAAAGTATTAGTTTGATCCCCATGAATGAGTCAAGGGACCCAATTGGGAATTTTATATAATTTGGGATTATTTTGTTCATTTTCTCTTTTTAAATTTGTGCTTGCATGCCTACATTTCTTGATCCATAATTGAAAAATCTACAAATATGTACATGAGATTCAGTGCAACAGTATATTTGCACATTTACTGGATTTGGATCTGCAAAAAAAAAAAAAAACCTGGTTTTATAGCTAGTTATCGTTTCACATTGACTATCAATAGTAGAGCGTTTTCACTTTTTTTTTTGGTGCTTTTGTATCAGTCTGACACTTTGTTGCGTGTTAGTTTTTCTGAAGAATTTGTTTTGGAATATATCCTGTAATGTGAAGCACTTGTTGATGCTGTTGCTAAATTTGGTAGAAGGCATAGTTTTATATTACTCAGTGCAATCTTTGTTAACTTTGCAATGGAACTATAATAAAAAAAGTATAAAAATCTATCCATAAGTTTGTTTGCATAGAAAATTTACCGCAGTTATGTAAGTTTTAAGCTCTTTTTAACTTTTGTGGTTTTAGTATGCCAAAAAGTGTAATTGTACTTCCAAAAGAAACGACCCATCTTTCACTTTTAATGAACATTATTGATATAATTAAAAAAATGAAATATTAATCTAAAAAGTTGTATACATTCAACTGTGCCTTGTAAAACTATCTATGTTTTTTCTGCATAGATGGTTTTCATGTTTTTATGCTTTTTCTGTTGATCTGGCTCTTTTTGATGCAGGCGCTGGATCCAGGCAGTTTTTTCTCTAAATTTTGAGAAGAATGCGGGATTAGCAAGAAAATCTGAACTAGAGCAAGGCGAAGAAAGGTTTGATCGGATAAATTCTTTGAAAGATTGCACAATTGATGCTGAAGTAGATATGTCAGAGAGCATTGTTAAAATGTTCGATCCTGATCCATCATTGAATGAGGTGCTTCTTTTGAGTCCTTATTACAAGAACAATTTCTATTAATCATTTTTACTAGAGGCTTGCATTCCATTTACTAGTTTGTGCTTCTTTTGTTGACTCATAAAATTACAAAATGTTCTCCATCCTGGAGTAATCAACTAATATAAATCTGTGTATGATTGAAGTGCTGGATTTTTAATTCTTTTTGAACATCACGTAATTCCTCAACAACAACAACAACAACAATATAAAGTCTTTGCCCCACTACGTGGGGTCGGCTGCATGAATCCTTTTTCTTCATTTTGTCATGTTAAAAGTCAAATTCTCGTTTAAATCTAATAAATAAAGATCATTTCTAATATTTTATAACCAAGTCTTTTTATGTCTACCTCTATCTTTTCTCAGTGGGCTGAAACTGGAGTGTGTCATACTTGAATAGTTATTCTATGAACTTAGCTAATAATTATTATTCTTTTCGATGTGTGAGTGATTTCCTAATCAATTTCTATGATTTTCATTTGCTGAATTAGCCCGCAAAAGAGTGTGACAAGCCATCAAATATGTTAAAGACATGCATCTTCTTCAACACTTCATACTTTCAAGTGGCTTGATACTTGATGCGTCACTTTATATGTTCATTTCACAGATAATCTTTAATGTTTCCGTGGTTTTGTTTGTTTAGTACTCTAATCAAGATGAACAGAAAACAGAACTTCCATATGGGTATATTGAATCAATTAGAACAAATTATTGATCTTTTAGTTGAAGTGTGCATTTGTGAATGATTGTTGTCGGTGGATGAATGAAAACCACTTGAGAATGAGTGATTACCATATGGTTTGATTTTGTATTACTCCAAAATTTGAGAGAAAAAATTTCAAATTTATCCAAAATATTATATCCCATTTTTTTGCAAATCTTAGAATTCATAAATAATATTTTTATAAAATCCTATAAATTGTACTGATCATTTTATGATGTAAATATAGAGAAAGTTTTGAGTATATAAGTTTATATGAATTAACATGGTTTCGATTAAATTTTTCTAATGTTAAACCTTAATAACATTGTTCACTTGGGTAATATACTGTAGCAAATCCAACATTTTCCACTTATCTGTGCATGCATTGGTTGATGAGGAAATTGATGTTAAGGTAGATTAGGAATGATGGGAGTAGATTAGAGAGCTTTATTTGGCCAGCCCCTACACTCCTTGGCTAATTGGCTTGGCCAACTACTCATTCCATACATGAGGTACTTAATTAACTCAATTAAGTGACATACCAGCCAATTGACATATAAAATTCACATTACAAATATTAAGTCTTACACATATAATTACAATACCATATGAAATTTTCACACACATAATTAAGTAGAAATATCAATAAAATTTCCTAGCTTACGTTACGGTCTTCAACTTGTTCCTAGTGATGAGTCCACTTTGCTCAACTACAATTTTTCTAGATTGAGCTCTAGTGGGTGGACCCTTTCTGTCATCTGATGCTTTTGATGCTCTTGGTGATACCCCAAGAACCCTGGCCATATGTTGAAGCGGCGAATAGAGAGTAAGCAATATGCGAGTGAAGGAAAGTAGAAGGAAACAAAGGGAAAAGCTGAGTTTTGGTGATAAAAATTCGGTTTTTTCTGTATTTTTTTTCATCAAATAGGAGTAAGAAACTTGAGATTTATATGAGGATTATTTTGAGGGTAAATTGAAATTTAATTGAGTCGGAAGTTAGAACTTGAATTTAACGAATGTCGTTAGCGAGATAGTTTATTACTTGATCATTCGTTGACATGCTGAATTAGGTAAGATATGCGTCTTTAATTCATAAATAAAAAAGGTTCCCATAATTGAGTATAATTTGATTTGTTCAATCGATATATAAGTTAATTTTATTAGAAATGACGTTTTTTATTAGATTTAAATGAGAATTTGACTCTTAATAGAAAACACTGAAGAAAATGATTCATGTAGCCGACCCCATGTAGTGAGATAAAGACTTGATGTTGTTGTTGTGGTCATCATCCTTTTTATAGAAATATTAAATAGGTTACAATTTTCATGTCTAAAAATATATGTAATAAGAAGAGAAAGTGATGATAACATCAAGATACTCAAAATATGAAACTAAATAAAAATAGCTACAGAAAGATTATATATATGAATAGGTTGACCATGTGATAACTTATATTGGTGGGGCGACATAGGAGATCTCATTTGGAGGCAAAAGGGTCATGCAGTTATCATGTGTAAGATATCCTATACATGTAAGGGAGACAATGATATAAAAGTTTCTATTATCTGATCTTATTCTGAAATAATTTGTGTTAGTATCTTTCATGACAGAGAACTTATACTATTTATTTTGCATTTACATTATATCTTAATATCCTCATATGGTTCCTGCTTTATAAACAACTCTCTTATATACAGATCAACATTATCAAACCAGGAAGCTACAGCTTCAGGATAAGAGGACTTGCCAGAGAATACCAGCACACCTGCCAATCAACAGGCCTCATGCTATGGGAATCTGCTCTTCTCCTGTGCAATCTAATCTCGGAAAACCCCTCGATTGTCGCCGGAAAAATGGTACTGGAACTTGGTTCTGGCTCCGCCGGTATCTGCTCCATGATTTCTGTTCAATTTGCAAAATTTGTAGTTTCCACTGATGGTGATTCTGAAGCTCTCAAACTCCTTCAAGACAACATTGCTTCAAACCTTGAGCAAAATCTAGTTCAAAAGATGGCTATTAGAAAGTTACTATGGGGAGATAAACAAGACCTGGACGCCATTAAAGAGCTTGATTGCTATAAAGGAGGCTTTGAAGTCATAATTGGTACTGATGTTTCTTACAGTCCTGAAGCCATTTCTCCATTGTTTTTCACTGCTAAGGAACTGATTCTGAAAGAAAGTAATGGAGGATCAAAACCTGCTCTTATTCTGTGCCACATTCAAAGAAGAGTTGATGAGGATTCGATCGTCTTGGTTGCGACCGAACTGGGGTTCGGGCTCAGGGATAGATGGGTCCATGGAATGAGCCTGAATGATGGTGTTATTAGCTCATGGTTTGCTAGTGGTTCTTCTTGCTGGAATGATTTTCAGAATACACCTTTGACAATTTTGTATTTTGAACTCTGAGATTACTTATATATTTGCATTTAGGGTTTGGGGAGGATGAAAATGTTTATGCTTTTATAATTTATTTTTTATCTTTTCCCAGTTGATTGATGGCTGTATGGAGACATTGAGATTTTTCTTTGAACTCCGTCAAATTTGAGTAATTTAGAAAATGCTTATCACACTTTTGCTTGAATTGTTAGGCTTTGTAGTGTGGGGGTGCTTAATTGTGATTTATGTTATATTTATTTTATTTAATCTATTTTTCTTACAATTAAAATATGTATGGTTGATGTGTGTAATTTTAATTTTTCAATAATTTTATTGAAAAGAAGTGTTCAATTTCAAGTTGACTTTTGCTCGAAATAAAAATTGTTTGATTTTTTTTAGCTATAAATTTATTTGTTTTTTTTTTAATATTTTGAGTGAATTTAATCGTAAATTTACTTGCGTGTATCTCGAATTAATGATGCAATTACACTTAGGCTTGATTTGGGAGAGCTTTCTTATTGTTTTGTAAAGTAGCTTTTTAGTATAAAAAATTCTAATTAAAAAAATTTAAAAGCTTGTTTTAGAAAGCAAAATAGAAGCTATTATAAATGAAGCCTTAGAGATATATACAAATTTTGATATTCTAGCAAGCAATTTTGAAATAATAATAAAAAAAAAATGGCATGTCATATTAAATAAGTTGAGTTGTACATAATTTTAGCAAAAAAAAAATTTAGAATTTTCTTTCATTTTTCAAATGTCTATTTTTTTATAAGGAGAAAATCAAAATATTATTTTGTATGAGAGATAATAATTCTTTAAAATGAATAATGCTTATATTCAAGTCATTACGAATTTGTATGCAGGAGTTGTTATTCGTGTTCAAACATAAGGTGGTTTGACAAAATATTTTTTTAGTTCAGTTGGATACTTGGATTACATCAATGGTCGGTCAGTCTTAAGCCCATATCTTTTTTGCTTTAGCCATAGATGTTCTCACTAGACATTTGCAAGAGATTGTACCCTAGTATATGCATTTTTCTAATGATATTCTTCTTTTTGATAAGCCTAGAGAGGGAGTTGCATGTAAACTTGAATTATGGAGGAGTCTAAAGGCTTTTGTTTGAGTAGATCTAAAACTGAATATATGGAGTATAATTTTAGTAATAATAGATCTAGTAGGGGAATTGTGACTTTGTGCGATCAAGTTATTAATAAGAGCATACATTTAAGATATATTGGGTATATTATTCAGAGTGATGGTGAAATAGATGGTGATATTATCAGTAGAATTCAAGTTGGGTGGTTGAAGTGGATGAATGCATTGGGTTTGTTATGTGATGGAAAAGTCTCTCAAAATTAAGGAAAATTTCTATAAGATGCTAGTGAGATCTGCAATGCTTTATGGTGCAGAATGTTGACCATTAAAAGAGAAGCATAACATTAAGTTAAGTGTTGTAGAGATGAGGATACTCAGGTGGATGAGTGGCTTTCTTAAAGGCAGGATACAAAATGAGCATACATGAAAAGGTTAGAGAAGCTCTAATGGAAGATAAGATTAAAGAGAGTCGCCTTAGATGATTTGGTCACATAAAATGACAGCCTTCTGATGACCCAGTTAAAAAAGTAGATGTATTAAATTTGACTTATCTTAAGAAAGGTATATGTAAACCTAAATGGATTTGGTTAAAAAATATTAGAAATGACATTTCTTTATTAGATTTATATGAGAATTTGACCCATAATATAACACAAGGGAGAAAAATGATTCATGTAGCCGACCTCACATTGTGGGATAAAGACTTGTTGTTGTTGTTATATAGATAATAATTCTTCACAATTAAATCATAATAAAATAATTAAAAATGGCAACAAAATATAGCAATAAATGAAGTGGAATTGTATATGCTTTTGTACATTGGTTATCTTTTATGTTTCATGTTAATTTTAGCTTCTAATACTTTGAATTAAATTTCATCTATTTTTTCAATAATTTTTTCTCTATTTTTTTAGTGTAAGTCATAAAAAATTATTAAACTTAAATTGAAATTATTAGGATAGTATCCTCTCTTCTAGGGGATATGGAGTCGAGTTCGCGAATCTATAATGCAAAAAATAAGATTTTCAATTTCAAGTTTGATTAAATTAGAGTCAAAGACAATGATGCTAATTTTTTTAGTTGATTAAAATCAACCATACTAATTTTCAAAAACATGTTGATTTTCTTAAATAAATCAAAGAAAGAATATATAAATGTATAGTTTTATACAAATTGAGTTAAAATGAACTAATTACAATCGGTGGCGACGATGGTTTGGAGATCATAGTCGGTGGGCGACAGTGGTCGAAGGGACCGTAGTCAGTGGACGATGGAGGTCGGAGGGACAATAATCATTAGGAGATGGTGGTCAGAGGTAAGGGCAATGGAGTTCGGAGGGATCTTAGTCGTTAGGTGATGGTGATCGGATGATGGAGATTCATATTTTCTACCCCTTCAATAGCTGACTTCATCACATATCTTTGGAAATAATGTCAACGCATGCTATTATTTATGACGCCGTTGACATCAAATATGACTCACGACATTAACATTGTATTTTATACCAAATTTCTTGATTTTTGGTCTCATCTTATCAAAGATGTACGATAAAACAAATAATCAAATGATCTCTTAAGGACAACTCCCATGCGGCAGTGCTCGCCAACTTCAAGCAAAATCATAAAAAAGAATTATATGGACCATTTGAGTATTAACATCAATAAATCATCTTCTGAGTGAAATATTAGATGTATTTTAGTCCGACCAACCATCTTTTATTATTATGGCTCCTTCAAGACATAAACGTAGCTCCACACTCATTGCATCTAAATATGTTAGAAAAAAAATTAGCTTATCTTTATGGCTTGAGGAATTACTTGATATGCCATAAAAAGATTTTGCTCACATTAAGTTAAAAAATCAATTAAATTTAATAAATAAAACATGAAAATAATCTCTATTATATATTTTCAAATTTTAATATATTAACTAAAAAATTACTATGCAAATAATCATCTTGTTACAAATTGAGTAATATACTAAAATTATTATTATTACATCCTTCTCAACATAATTGACTATTATAAAAATAAGATTACTTGTGGTTTGGGTCGCGTAGTGGGTTCAATATGTTAATGGGAGGGAGCAATTTAGAAAGGGGCGGATGCGTCAAAAATTTTTGTGAAAGTAAAACACCGAAGTGTTTGATGTGGTGTGCAAGAGGGCGAATTATTACGTCCGGTCACCGGACGTCCGGACATCCAATCCAGACGCTCCACGTCATCCAAATACATTAGGGCCCGGTGTATTTGGGTGACGTGGCGCGTCTGGATTGATGTCCGGACGAATTCGGACACCAGATGTAATAATTTGCCGTGCAAAAGAGACCACAAGAGAAGAGAGATGAGAGAGAGGCTGGAGAGAGAGAGAGAGAGACAGAGAGATGGGAGAGAGATTTAAATAAAATTTTTGAATATTTAAAATAATATTAAAAATTGATAGATAAAATAATATTTAAAAAGTATTATATAGAAAAAGTAAAAAAAATATAATCTTATTTAAAAAGTATAATTTTCTAAATTTTTTACTTTATGAAAATAATTCAAAATATATTTTTAAATATCATGAGTATTTAAATTTAAAAAATAAATTTTAAATAAATACTTTATTATAACCTTCAGAGTTCACACCATATCATATTTGACTATAAAAAACTACTTTTCAATATAAAATTTAAAATTTAATTAAAATATATTATCAAATAGAATTATGTTATTTTTTTAATGAAAAAAATAACTAAAATTGTGAAAAAAATTATACCAAAATGAGCATAAATTTTACTCTATTTTCTTTGAAATTAATTTTCTAGCATTAAATTTATACCAGTAATTTTTAAACTTTTCATTATTTTTTTGAACGTTCGTCTTTTATGTTTTTAAGAATGATAAAGATTTAACAAAACTTTTTTCATTAATCTCAAATATTTTATAAGAATGAAAAAGATTTAACTATTTTTTGCGCACATAAAATATGGTGTTCACATAGTGAACAATTATGAATATATTTTTTTTTAAATTCTCATCCAAAATTAAATGTCACAATAAAATTTCAATTTATATTTATATTTTTATTAAAATTTTAATAATATCTCTCTTAGTCTCTCTTCATCGTCCTCATATATCTCTTCGATCTCTCTCTCTTCCGCATCTCTATCTCTCTCCCCCCCTCCATATGACTGTGGGATTACACTAAAGAGTTTGACGGTTTCCATTGGTTCATTGTGCCTGAGTGACTGAGTCCTATGCCAAACACTTTAGCTATCTATTTTTGCCAAATTTTTTTTGGCTTATTTGCTCCTTCCTAAATTATGCCCAAAGTATTCTTATTTCACGAATTTAATTTTCGTACACAATCCTTAAAATTTCTCCTAAATAAATTTAAAATTTATGAAAAAATATAACTTAGACATATATAATAATCATAGTTAAAATTTTGATGATATATATCATTATAAACATTTCTAATGATTTTATTTGATTTAGTATTATTTACTTAATAATATTGTAATTCAAAAAATTATATATTAAATTAAATATTTTTTAATGTAATTCACAAACTGTTATTTAGTGGAGAATATTATTATTTTAAGAATATATATTTATATAAAATATTTTATAATTTATTATTCAACATAAAAAAAATTCTCATTACATGTTAATCCCTCCAACTTTTCGCTCTTCAATTTTTTGTTTAAGTGGCACTTTCGAAAATAATGGGATAAACGGTGCCTATTTCATAGTGCTTAAGCTATATAAATACATGTAAAGCGCATCTGGTTAGTTTGTCAAGAAACGCTGAATTCGCGCTGCCCTGCAGTTCTCATTTACTCCCTTTATTCTCTTAACCCTAATTTCGACCACAATCCACCGCTGGAACCCTAATTCCGATTCTCCGGCTAAATCATCGGCTTCTTCTTCACCCTCCTGGATCGATCGTGGGAGCGAAGTGGCTTTTTTGGGCGATCTGGGTTCGAGATATCTTTTAGGGTTCCGCCGTGAGGAAATGAGGGATGTTCTCATGGTTGGGGAGAATTGCATCGGCGTGCTTGGTCCCGGTCCGGAGGTACGCGCGTATGAGCAAGGATGAGGGCGCGGACGACGCTCTACTGTGGTCGCGGGACATTGGGCAGCATTCGGTGGGGGAGTTCTCAATCGCGGTCGTGCAGGCAAACGAATGCATCGAGGACCATAGCCAGGTCGAGACGGGACGGAACGCCACCTTTGTTGGTGTTTACGATGGCCACGGCGGTCCCGACGCTGCTCGATTTATCTCGGATCACCTCTTCCTCCATCTCATTCGTAAGTTTAGTGGCTGTTGGAAATAAATCGGAAGTTAAATACTTATATATTTTCTCTTTTCCTGCTTGGCGAATGTGTTATGATGGTTGTCTCGGTTTCAAGAGCACAAAGACGCCCGTTTTTCCAGCTTTTTATATAAGAAATATGAACTGCATAGTTCTTGATTGCGAGAACTCCATTTGGATTCGAGCAATTAAATCCTTTAAATAGTGAAATGATCCATGGCCTAATGGTTAGAGCAGTATGATGATTCTTGGAAATCATCACTAGTTGGACTCGCTCAGTATTTAAATAAAAAATCCTCTAAGTAGAAGAGTGCGCAGTCTGATAATTCATATTAAATTCTGTCAATGCCAAAATTCACCTAGTGTCATCTTATATATAGTTATTAAAAGACTAAAGTTTGAGTGAATCCTTTCATTTCCTATCACGTGAAATTCTAGTGTAGCCATTTTTTGCAATTAACACCACCCTATAACATATATAGTCATAAAAAGCTGATTCCACTCCAGAAATTTCTGAAAAGCTGTAAAAAGGCTATAATGAAACAAAAAATAAACAGTTTTCTGAACGAAAAGGCTGTTAAAAGCTACCCCAAATGGTTAATGTGTGTTAAAAGAAATTTGATCTTGGGGAATGATGATGTTGCTGCAATTGGATTGTTTGCTGCTTTCTTCATTGTCTTTTGCGTGGGTTATATTGGTGATGTGTTACTATGCAAGACTTTTGAACGTTTGTATTAAAAAATTGCATCGAGCATTTATTGCTGATTGCAGAAGATGTGCCTCCTGATGCTACTGCTATGGACATATAATTTTCCCTGAAAGTTGTTTGCTTAAGCTTTTATTTATTGGAGTTCTTAGAAGGTATTTGACATTAAAGATGCATGAGCAAGTTGGAAAATGTTTACATTTGCTTATTAAGTGTTGTTTGTATCTGTACTTTCCATATGGCATCTATAGGTGCTTAGGAAGCATGCTTATTTGTACTACAACTATCTTCATGCCTTTTGGGAGCACATATGTGTGCAGAGCTATTGGTCTACTACTGGATCTTCTAAATTTTAATCTTATAATGATTAATGAAATATTCATGGCAGGCTTGCTCCATGTATAAGGTTTTCTGCTACAAACAGGGAAGATCAAGCCTCTGTTGCTCCGATATGGCTGGTGATTTGACACTCTATTTAGGTTTGATGAAATTTAATGTTGAGCTACACATATGGTAATAACACAACTATGAACAAACATGTTTGATCGATGCATATCTGAGAAAAGATCATTGAGCAGTTGAAATTTAATTGTCTGTTCTTTTGTGTTGGAAGGTGTGGGGCAAAGCAAGAAGTTCGGTAAAAAGATGTTCATTCAGCTTACTAATGAAGTTGAGGTACCTAACCCATAAACCATCAAAGGAAGGAAAGTAGAAGTGATTTGATTGGCTTTTGAAGCACCATGTTGAATTCATAAAGGCTTCATGGAAGAGATTATTGCCCTTAATGATTTAACAGCAAGAAATTTATAGAGGGAGAAAATCCAGTAACTTTAAGGTTTTTTTCTTCCTGAGCTGAAGAAAATGATTTATGATTTAGAAAGGAAGAGAGCACTACTTAAAACATAAACAAGGGTGGAAGAGCCAGGAAAAGACTCCAAGGAAGTTAGGGCAGCATAAATTAAAATGATTAGTAGAGGTGGATGAAGGAATATTCTGAAACCATTATTATTTCTAGCGTCTGAAGGATTGATGAAGGAATATGCCACTTATCCCTTTTCAATCCAAGGCTCATATCCTAAATAAAGAGTAATAGGTCTACCCTGATATGCTATAATTCGTGGCACATTGTGATTCTTCTTTTTAGGATAGAAAATGGATGTCTGCGAGAAGGAATAAGGTGCTTGGTATAGGATATGGACCTTGGTGATATATAAGTGGGAAGAAAGTATGCTGATAGATAGTTCCTAACTCTAAGAGGCACAATAAACATCGAACATTAAATTATTACTCCTAATCATGCGCAGATCTTGGCAATAAGTGTGCTGCTTGCATGTTGGATGCATTATAGTTTTGGAGCTCATTTGACTCTCTAGAAGCCCCACATAGTGGGATAACGTCTTGTTGTTGTTTGTTGTATCTGACTCTCTAGAAGGTTGGCTAAATCAAATGAAGGTTAGAATTTGGTTAATTTGCCAGATACACCCATTTGGGTTGTCTACATCAAATGCTAATCATAACAAAGGCTGTAACAAAGTTTAGTACATGGCCATTTGGAAGGTTGCATCAGGGCCTTGCCTCCACCAATGAATATAAGGGAAAATTATCATATCATCAGGCCTACAAACTGGCCACACCATCAAAGCTCCAAAAAAGGTGGCTGATCACCCAGGGTTATTGAGCAATGAAAACCATCTAAGGTGCTTATATGGTTTTGTAGTGACATTGTTTTAATTGAATACATCCCTTCTTTGTAGTAAGTTTATAAATACTTATTATTATTGTCATTAATTATCCTTAGTAAGTTAAGAACTATTTGTTAGGATCCTTTTTGAGCATATTCGATTCAAACTTAGGCTATTGGATATCGTTTTTGGCCTTAATCTATAAACAATGAACTCTTGTATTACTTCATAGGAATATAAATTCATATACGAATGCTATCTCTCCTCCCTTCTTCAGAATTCGGTTAAAGAAGCTGACGAACGCTTGATCTCAATGCTAGCAATATATGTAAGGCACATTGTAGCTAGATGCTGAAGAGGTGTTACTTTGGCCTTCTAAGTAGCTTGGATGAACATTTAACTAAGTTGAAGACATTTTGCACCAATGTTCTCATTGTTCCTATAGGGTTGGTGCCTTGGTCTGATTAGATCTAGCTAAAGAAGCTTAATGGGTCTCTATGGGTCATACTACTCCAAATGTTAGTTACAATTAGCCGCATTAGGATCACCACACCTGAGGTTTGATTACAAGTTACAACCATCTGCAATTGGGTTTTAAGTTGATATTCTTAATATTTTTAGTTCGCCTGCTTTATCTCTAATGTTTCCTCATTTCTATATTTGGCTTATAAACTAATTGTTTTATTATGATAGTTTGTTTACAATGCAAGAAGGCTTTTCAAGTTTTATTCAAGTTGTTTCTTATGTTGTAACCAATCAGACAACATGTACTCATCTCTCAGCTTCTAAAATAGTCCAATTTTCCCTTTTGAATATGAACATTTGTTTCACAAATTCACCAAGTAAACCTCTTCAATCATTCTATCCAGGGCTTGCTCGAGAGAATGGTACAATTTCGGAGGATATAATTAGAAATGCTTTTTCTTCAACTGAGGATGGTTTTCTGGCACATGTCCAAAGAACAAGGGAACTGAAGCCATTAATTGCTGCAATTGGATCGTGCTGTTTGGTGGGAGTAATTTGGAAAGGGACATTGTATGTTGCTAATTTGGGAGATTCCAGAGCTGTAATTGGTTGTTTAAGTAGATCCAATAATATAATTGCTGATCAATTGACCAGTGATCATAATGCTAGTATGGAGGAAGTTAGACAAGAGCTTAGATCCCTTCATCCAGATGATTCTCAGATTGTGGTAATGAAACATGGGGTTTGGAGAATAAAAGGCATCATACAGGTTAGTTATCTCTTTATTGTCTGATTTTCTTTTATCACTCTCAAAATTTATTATAATAAAATTGTGTTTCCATCAATAAATTGTATTGCCATTAAAAATGGAAACTTTTAATCTGCATTAGTACAAATAGTGTTGCTAAATATTTTTTATGTGAACTACTATGTTCCTTGAGGGCCTTTGGTCCTACAATTAGATTTGTGAATGGCTTTCTTTCTCGCAATACGTCTACTTATAGAGAATCGATTTAGCATCCTTGTTTAATGCTCATATTTTCAGTTATAGAGTTTTCAATATTCAGTTTTGCTCAAGTTCTTGTTTCTATTCTCGATAGAAATGGCCTAAGAAATATTTAATTTCTCTACAATTGAATCACAAGAATAAAATCTAGCGATGTTTATGCACATCACTGTGAAATTATTCTTCTATTCTTATTTACAACATCGCCACTCAGGTAAATTTTTTTGAACTGTCGAATCTGTCTGCTTGCACATAACATATTTAATTTTTTGTTATGGAAATAAGGTGTTTGTTATGTAAATAGTAAGGATTTGGATGTTATGCGTTAAATTGCCCCCAACTTCTACAGGAATAAAATTGGGTACATCAACCGCTCATTGACAATATTTACAATGCAGTATTATTTTTCTGGTGGATAGGTTTCAAGATCTATAGGTGATGCATATTTAAAGAGACCCGAATTCACAGTTGATTCATCTGTTCCACGTTTCCGGCTATCAGAACCACTACGCAGAGCTGTTCTTACTGCTGAGCCATCCATATACACAAGAGTCCTTAACCCACAGGATAAGTTTGTAATATTTGCCTCAGATGGACTTTGGGAGCAGTTAACTAATCAAGAGGCTGTTGAGATTGTCCACAAATTTCCCAGATCGGTATGTTTATGTATTCATATCCTCTCTTGTTTTTTGGTTGATAGATAATCATTCATTCTTGCCCTGATGCCTTTGATAGGAGAAATTATTTTGTGTGGAGTCTGAACGTAGTTTTGATTGGAATCCGGACACATCCGGACTTCACATGGAATAATTTCTCCTTTTATAGGAGGGTAAATGAGCCAAGCTTGACTAGGCTCAAGTATTGTTCGGCTTGGCTTGTGATGCAAACAAGTCAAACTTATGTTTGTGTATGGCTAGTTAATTTATCAAATTGTTCACGATCATAAAATCCACTTGAAAGTCATATATAAATTATAAAATATGCATATCATATATGTGTATATGTGGATTCATGCAAATAGAAATGTATCAATTAGAGCGTGCACAATTTATGTCATGATTATTCGACAAGTTTTACGCTGTCTGTCGACTATACCCCTAAAGCAACCTGTCACTTTTCTCATTCAGGACTTGAAAAAGAATTCATGTAGCCGACCCCATGTAGTGGGACAAAGGCTTGATGTTGTTGTTGTTGTAGAGTGTGCACAATTTATGCATGTATTTATTGCACACATATAAACACTAATAAATTTACCGACAAGTCGAACATTATTGAAAAAGTTTTTGTTTGTCGTTAAATAAACGGCCATAGAAAAAATTAATCAAACTCAAACTAATTATTAAACTAATATGATCGAACACAAATAACAATCTTTGCTGACACAGTCCTAATCATGATAATGATGGCAGGGCATTGCAATGAGGCTAGTCAGGTCAGCATTGGATGTGGCAGCTAAGAAGCGCGAAATGCGATACTCTGATCTAAAGAAACTTGACAAGGGAATTCGCCGTTTTTTTCACGACGACATAACCGTCATCGTCGTCTTCATCGACCACGAATTATTATCCGCACCAAATACATCAGTACAAGAACTCTCTGTTAGAGGTTTCATTGATGCACCACCAGGAGTTTCAGAATTCTCATCCTTGGATGGGCTAAGCGGCGTTGTTGGAAGCTCAGCTGGTAGATCTTAAATGACTACTGGTTTTTTGAAGTTTTTCTCTTCCTCTCTCCCTCACCTCTCAGGTATTACATTACTAGTTTCTGCTTTAGTTCTTTCAATATCATTTGGTTTCATATTCTGCCATACACAGATCCAGTTTTGCCAGTCTCAAACTGGTTCAAAATTGCAACCTTGGAATCAATCCTTCATATTTGTTCAAATCTTTGTGATTAGTTAGGTATTTACCTTCAACTAGATGACCATAAACATTCATAATTGATCCCCCCCCCCCAACCTTCTTTTATTGCTTTCATTCTTTTTGAAAGGGTTCACAGTGAACTTGTTCTCTTTGCTTTTGTGCCCATAAGTGATCAAACAAAATACACTGGGGGTCATTTGGTTGCCAGTTGATAAAATAATGTTTTTAATTTGTTTTATAAATTATATTATCCCATTTGAATTTTAAAAGTGGTTTTAGCGTTTGAACTGAATGTTGTTTTTTAGATGCATATATTTTTTTTTTCTTAAGTTTTAAAATTAACTAAATTGGTTCTTTGACATGAATATATAAGTAGATGGATTAATAAAATTTTAAATAATTTTTTGGGTTGTGTGCTATAGTTTTAGGGGTGCAATGCATCTATTGCTGTGAACGGAGATCGAGTCGAGCTCGAGTTTGTGATTTGACCGATGAGTTGAGTTTGAGTTGACCATTGCTTGAGCTCAATTTGACTCATTTGCACCCTTATATAGTTCAATTTTATAGGAGAATTTTGCAAGTCTACAGCTTAGTAGAATTTTTACAATGCTTCCTTTTCTGGTATTATTTATTACATAAAAAAAAAGACCCTGCAAATAAATATTTGTTCTTCACATAAGCAGACAACTTTTTTTTTTTTTTCTGTATATTAAACACGCGTAGGACTCATAAGACATTGATGTGACGAATGGATGAGAATTTAAGCCTTGTCTTTTTTTATTTTTTATTTTTTATTTCTTGTGGCTGCTAAAATGCTAGTGAATTAAAAATATTAATGAAAATTCTTGAAATTATTATCAGATTTTAAAGATCTGAAATCCATGCACCCATCATTAAAAAGTAAATTATATATATATATATATATATCCTTGTTGGTCTGAGGGTATATAAGGTTATTGTGATTTTGGTTGCTCAACTGCCTGCAATAAAAGAAATCACGGCAGGCTTGTGATCAGTTTCTGAATTTAGTTAGGGAAAAATATGTCCCATAATATGTCTATGAAAGCAAAGGTTTTTTTTTTTTTTTTCATTTTTTTTAACTTTTTGCTTGTTTCTTCATTGGGGTATTTACTCCTCTTTTTATTGCTTTTTGAAAGATTTTTAATAAATTTTTTTTAATGTTTATACTATTTTTTTTCAAAAGCAATAAAAAAATTATCTCAATAAGCTTCATTTGAGAAAAGTTTTTATTTTTTGTATTTGAAAAATTATATTAAATAATTGGAATTAATGATAGAGTTTTCAATACTGAGATCATATTACATAATTATCTTATTCTAATCAATGTTTCTTAACATACAGTTAAATTTAAATATCACTCTATTTTTTTTTTAATTGAATTGGGTCAGTAGGAAGCCTGCCCATTTTTGTATGATCAAATCATCTAAGGATGACTCTCTTATCTTATAGGTCTTCATCTTCTTTTAGAGCGCTTATATATGTGGACTCCGATAAAACATAATCTGGGCCTTCTATAGCTGTCTCAATGTAGCTCTGACTAAGAAAACTTATTGTAGCAGAACTAGCGGTAGCAATAGTGAATTTGCCCATCACGAAGGTTCAGATACAAAAGCCTTTAGATTCTTGTTGACCATTAACATAATCATGAGGCTTTTCTATAAAAAAATAAAAATTAAAATAAAAATATAATTTTTAAAACAGGCTGTCTCTGAACCAAAATAATGTATTGATTTAGTAAGGCATTATCTGATATAAATCCTTTTAATTTATATCCCGGATTGTTTGACCCATTGGCTTACGTAACCGCCCCCTGAGGTATGTATTGAGAATATTGTTTATTAGCCTTACCCAATTGAAAAGGTCTTTTGATTAAAAAATAAGACAGTTGTCCAAACATAAATTAGAGGCATATAAAATAATATTCTCCTCAATAATGTTACTAAAATATATTATTTAATCTCTTAAAACAAACAAATATTAATATATATAAATTTGGATATGCCCACCTTAAACTTATCAGCCTCTTTGCTGATACGATTTCATCTAATTAGTGACAATCAACGCCCTAAATGATATTTAATTAAGGCTTCGGTTGGAACTACACTTTCTTATTATTTTCTAACACATCAGATTTTTTTTTTTACTAAAAAAATATAAGCGAAAACTATCTCAAACAACATTTCTTAATCATGGATTTGGGTTAAACAATAATATTGGCATTCATAATTCACTCAACATTTCATTATGATAGCATTAATAATTAATTAAAAAATAATCATTTTTGAAATAAAAAGAAATAGCCACTCTTTATGTTTTTTAAAATTATAATTATATTATTTATAATTTTTTTAGCGCTACAGCTTTTATGCTATTCTTATTTCTTATAGAATTGATCAAAATAGAGACCATGTGATTTTCATATTCATATATTTTCTCATATGTACCAATGAAATCATATTGCCTAAAAAGAAAAATCGTTCTCTCTAGGTATAAATGATAACTCTCCTCTTAAATTAAATACACTCATTTTTTAAAATTTCAAAATAAAATGAAACTAATAT